CTGGTGCAATTATAGGGACCCACAGCCTCAAAGAAGGGAACACAGAGCATTCAGCGAAAAACTTGCCATTTAACTCTGAATACGTAAGAGTGTTCGCTTCTCCTACCCCCCCCCCCCCTTTTTTATGATGTACACTTTATTATGCAAGGTTATACAGTTACATATCTGATTTTATACAAAAAATAAACATTAAGAGGACACAAGAAAAAGTTCGCTTCCTAGAGGCTGTAGATTTCCTCGAACTCCTCCGACGCCGGGCAGGAACCGAGGATGCAGCGGGCATTCCCCCTCTGGATCGCGACACTGAGGCGCTGAAAGAGAAAACTTGCCGCTCTAGGGTCTCTTGTGGTGTCAATGAGCTCGGAACCAAGATCCTTAAGAAACCTTCTTGCACTCTCTCCCCATGGGTCTAGGGTCTCAGACCCTATTGGAACGAAGTTGTACCGATGATTTAATTCCCTGTACTTGGCTGACTTGTCTCTTTCTCTGTGTATCGCCGCGGCTCCTGCTGTGCCGGCAGAGAGGTTGGTGTATGTGGTTGCCAGTGTGGATAGTCCCATGCCAACTGTCTGCCACCCTTCCACGGACGCAGTGTGATTCCGTCTGGTCGGCCGGCAAAGTTAACAGAGTCACTGTTCAGCAGGTTGCGGGGCTCTCTCTCCGCTGGACACTGAGCAGAGGCAAGGCTTCTTTTAATGATGTCATTGACTTCGTCGTGTCTAGTGTGCCAACCACCAGATTTTCCACAGTGCAGGCCATGCAGTCCATAATCGTCAGCATCTGCCTCGCCGCAAATACACCTGTGAACAGTGTGGATAGGGGCAGCAAGGCGGAGAGCGACTGCAATACGGAGCTCCTGCGGATCAAGACGTGTGCTGTCGCAGACATAGGGACTGCCAAAAGGAAGTCCCCTGCATGGGGAGCCTGCACAGCTGTGAGGCGTGCACGATCACTGGGGGTGTTGCTGCCTCCAGCAAAGCTGTGGCTTCTTATATATATCTTATATATATATATATATCTTATATATATATATATATAATATATATATATATATATATATATATATATATATATATATATATATATATATATATATGTCGTACCTAGTAGCCAGAACGCACTTCTATGCCTACTATGCAAGGCCCAATTTGCCTAATAAGCCAAGTTTTCATGAATTAATTGTTTTTCGACTACCTAACTACCTAACCGAACCTAACCTAACTTTTTCGGCTACCTAACCTAACCTAACCTATAAAGATAGTTTAGGTTAGGTTAGGTAGGGTTGGTTAAGTTCGGTCATATATCTACGTTATTTTTAACTCCAATAAAAAAAATTGACCTCATACGTAAAGAAACAGGTAGCTTTATCATTTCATAAGAAAAAAAATTAGAGAAAATATATTAATTCAGGAAAACTTGGCTTATTAGGCAAATCGGGCCTTGCATAGTAGGCCGAGAAGTGCGTTCTGGCTACTAGGTACGACTATATATATATATATATATATATATATATATATATATATATATATATATATATATATATATATATATATATATATATATATATATGTGTGTGTGTGTGTGTGTGTGTGTAAAGTTAATAAAACACCAGAATGTTTCACATTCTGAATCGTATAAAGCCCATACAAAAATACTAGATTAAAACATTATTCCTCAACTATGGTTTATCGGAAGTTGTGTCAATATTAATGGAATTTAGTCATCAATGTTGCATACATGCGTCAGCAATATGAAGTGGGAATGAATAAGCGGTCAGAGGAAACACTGGAGAGGAACACAGAGGCCGGCCAGGTGATGAACCACCAGAGGAAACACTGGAGAGGCACACAGAGGCCGGCCAGGTGATGAACCACCAGAGGAAACACTGGAGAGGCACACAGAGGCCGGCCAGGTGATGGACCACCAGAGGAGACACTGGAGAGGAACACAGAGGCCGGCCAGGTGATGGACCACCAGAGGAGACACTAGAGAGGAACACAGAGGCCGGCCAGGTGATGGACCACGACACTTGCTCAACAAAACTCGTAATGGGTGGACATTTCACTTAAAACTTACTCAATCTGTGCTCGACATAACTTAATCATCTCAAAATAACTTGCATCCACCACTGTCCTTTGCACTGGACAAACAGCCACGTATATTAAGTGTCAACGAAAGAGAAAATATCTCCATGTGCTACAACATGAGGTAAGCTTAACAGTAAGCTAACTCCACAGCTCACAGCTGCCACCAGAGGGCCTTAACCTGTGTCTCCCGCTGTGGAGTATACCGACACCAAGACCTCCAGGAAGTCCTTATTCAAACCTATCCAATTGTGGTTAGTGAAGATGCAGTGAAATATTGCTTCAGTTATTTGGCATGAAAGGGTGAGTGTAGAGGCGCGCTGTGGGGGCGTCAAGTGAGGACACAGATGAGGTGTGTGTTGCGTGGGCTCTTCAACCTCTGGCTCTAGATGTGTGTGTGTTATTGTCATCGGCCGAAAGAAAGGGAGGCTTCATCTGCAGCTGAATGCAGTGTTTCTACACAGGTAGTGGTGGTAGTGGTGGCAGATTGTGGTACACATGCAGGTAGTGGGGCTGGTAGTGTAGTGGTAGAAATGCTGGTATTGGTAGTGTGGAACTGCTGTTACTGTTAGTGGTGGTGGTTGTTGTAGAGATGATTGTCCTATTAGTGGTGGTGATGGTGGTGGTGGTGATGGTGGTAGTGGCTGTGGGAGTGGTAGCAGCAGGACAGAGGAGACAGAAGCCATAGAGGCAACAATGTCGACCAGGTAAGCATGGCCCAGGTAAGCATGACCCAGGTAAGCATGGCCCAGGTAAGCATGACCCAGGTAAGCATGACCCAGGTAAGCATGACCCAGGTAAGAATGACCCAGGTAAGCATGGCCCAGGTAAGCATGACCCAGGTAAACATGGCCCAGGTAAGCATGACCCAGGTAAGCATGGCCCAGGTAAGCATGACCCAGGTAAGTATGGCCCAGGTAAGCATGACCCAGGTAAACATCATCGTCCAGTTTTAGAACAAGTGTTTACTGACCCGAAACACCGAGGACCACGTGTCTCAGTCTGTGGCGTCACGTGTTGCTTCAACTGTGTGTTTTACAAGGACACGTTGAGCCCCAAGAGTGGCCGAGCTTTTGTGACGCAAAGGTGCGTTGCGTATGTTGCATTCAACCGTGTTATGAGGGATAATATAACACCTACATTGCCTAGGATAGTATAACACCTGTAATGTTTAGCAGACCAGTGAGAGGCTTTGGGCTTGCGCAAGAACATCCTTGCATAACAAAACAAAATCATATGATAGCCAGATAAACAAATACACAGTCCCCGGGAGGCACTGTGGAGAAAGTGGTTTCTCGCTTCGCAGTGACGATGCTGAACCACAGTTCGAGTCCCACCCCCGGGTGAATCGGTACGCTCACACGAACCAAGAACCCGTGTCGCAGCGGCTCGGGGAGTATTCTCCACCGGATTATCGTTAAGGCTCAATTGGTTAACAAGTTGCCTAACAAGAGAGAGATGCACCTGTCTCGTCTCGTCGCGGCTGGGATGTTGGTCCCAGGGGCCAGGGATGGGATGTTGATCCTAGGGGCCAGGGCTGGGATGTTGGTCCCAGGGGCCAGGGATGGGATGTTGATCCTAGGGGCCAGGGCTGGGATGTTGGTCCCAGGGGCCAGGGATGGGATGTTGGTCCCAGGGGCCAGGGATGGGATGTTGATCCCAGGGGCCAGGGATGGGATGTTGATCCCAGGGGCCAGGGCTGGGATGTTGATCCCAGGGGCCAGGGCTGGGATGTTGGTCCCAGGGGCCAGGGATGGGATGTCCCATAAATATTGCGGCGGCCCATAGTTATGGGTTGTATAGAAAGGCTTCGATGCCCACCAATATACTTCAGTTACCCTTGGTAGACACGTCGAGAAATGCTTGCTAACTTGGGCATATGGATATGTATACACTATGTAAGGTACCCGGTGGTGTCCGGGTTTTCTCTCTCTCTCTCTCTCTCTCTCTCTCTCTCTCTCTCTCTCTCTCTCTCTCTCTCTCTCTCTCTCTCTCTCTCTCTCTCTCTCTCTCTCTCTCTCTCTCTCTCTCTCATCCCCAAGATGTGGCCTGCAGCAGCTTTCTAACTGACCCAGGTACCCATTCTCTGCTAAGGGAACAGTGGCATCAGGAGAAAGAAATTCTGCGAGATTGTTTCTGCCTTGGCCAGGACTCGAACCCGGGTCCGTGAACTGCCACTCCCAAATGTCATGTGTGCGTGAGTGCATGAGGAGGGGGGCAGGGGGGCGCCGACCCGCATGTCAGCCTGTGGTACTTGGTCTATATATAGCACTAGTACTGTGTGTCTGTGTACTCACCTAGTTGTACTTGCGCGGGGGAGGTTGAGCTCTGGCTCTCTGGTATCGCCTCTCAACTGTCAATCAACTAGTGTACAGGTTCCTGAGCCTACTGGGCTCTACCATATCTACACTTGAAACCGTAGAGAGAGAGGGAGAGAGAGAGAGAGAGAGAGAGGAGAGAGAGAGAGAGAGAGAGAGAGAGAGAGAGAGAGAGAGAGAGAGAGAGAGAGAGAGAGAGAGAGAGAGAGAGAGAGAGAGAGCTCACGCCCCCCCCCTCTTCCCCTCCCCCCCCCCACACTGACACAGGAAGGTGCGGGTGGTGTCATAACTCTCCATAAGATTAGCTGCGTCATCCTCCACACCTAAATATAGCCACTGTGACACACACACACACACACACACACACACACACACACACACACACACACACACACACACACACACACACACACACACACACACACACATATATATATATATATATATACTTATATATATATATATATATTATATATATATATATATATATATATATATATATATATATATATATATATATATATAATCTGTGTCGTGGCACTACTCTCTTAATTTACCATCAACATTAAGAAATTTAAATTAAAGAAGTGCATATGAATCAAGTTACTTGAGAGAGTGCAGCGTGGGTGTGGGGCTGCGTGCCCAGGTCTGATGGGGCGTGGCCCAGGTCTCCCAGGTCTGGAGGGGCGTGGCCCAGGTCTCCCAGGTCTGGAGGGGCGTGGCCCAGGTCTCCCAGGTCTGGAGGGGCGTGGCCCAGGTCTCCCAGGTCTGGAGGGGCGTGGCCCAGGTCTCCCAGGTTTGGAGGGGCGTGTCCCAGGTCTCCCAGGTCTGGAGGGGCGTGGCCCAGGTCTCCCAGGTCTGGAGGGGCGTGGCCCAGGTCTCCCAGGTTTGGAGGGGCGTGTCCCAGGTCTCCCAGGTCTGGAGGGGCGTGTCCCAGGTCTGGAGGGGCGTGGCCCAGGTCTCCCAGGTCTGGAGGGGCGTGTCCCAGGTCTCCCAGGTCTGGAGGGGCGTGTCCCAGGTCCCCAGGGGTGTTGCCGTGTTTCAATACCGTCGGGTCTGGCATTACCACTTCAGACGCAGACGCAGGTCTGATCGTCGGAGCGGACAATGGAGAGGAGAGGAGAGGTGGAGAAGCCTCCCTAGTGTCTCTTGGCCCTCGTGTACACCCATCAGCGCTCACTTGTATGTTATTCTCCCGCTCTGATGGTGTGCATCTGTTTCTACATGTGTAGTTACTATTTATGCCGGCAGAATCCAGCTATTAGCTCTTGGACCCCGCTTTTTAACCCAGTCTATTATATCTCTGGTTATATCTACGACTTATATTTCTCTATAACTCTAGCGCGCGCGTACAGATCCCAGGAAGCAGCCCGTGGCAGCTGTCTAGCTCCCAGGTACCTATTTACTGCTAGGTGAACAGGGGTATCACGGGTAAAAGAAACTCTGCCTATTTGTTTCCGCCTTCGCCGGGGAACGAACCCGGGCCATTAGGACTGCAACCCTCAAGCGCTGTCCAAGTTTGATATATCAAACGTGGTCTGGAATTCAGTGGAATCCCAAGTTGAATAACTTGTACCAAGTCGTGGTACGGAGGTAAGATGTGTGGTTGGGAGTTCCTTGATCACTGGTTCCAGTCATCTCATTATTTCAATTGATTTTCTCACTGCATTAAATACTAGAATAGAAAGGGCAGCCTCTGCCACGTGAAGGAGTCGACCCCGACTGCTATAGTCATGGGCGACATCAACCATGGAAAGATAAGTTGGGAGAAACAAGACCTCCAAGAGAAGCACAGAAACGTGGAGAGCTAAGCTGTTGTACGTGGAAACGGGAAACTTTTTAAGCCAACATGTCGGGGACCCACAAGAGCGAGAGGTAATGACGAACCAGCTAGACTTGACCTGGTATTCACTCTGAACGAGTTAGACATAAGGGAAAGTCAGCTTGGAAGCCCTCGCTAGAATGAGTGATCACAGTGTATTGGTGTTTGAGTAATCTGGTGGACGTAGAGATAACTTACTCGAGGAAGGGGACCAGAGAACAAAAGGTTGGCATACCGGAAGGGAAATTACATGGAGATAAGATATTCGCTAATTAAAATGCCATGGGTAACAGAGCTCAGAGGAAAAGCTGCACAAGACATGACTTGGGAGCACCATCAGTGTCAGGAAGCAGCAGACAGATTTGTCCCACTGACAGAAGATCCTACAAATGGCTACTAGAGTTTAACTCGAATAAATTTAAAGTAATAGCCAGGTGTAGGATGCAGAAATCTAAACATAAGGTACCAATGAGATGAAATACTCCATGCAACAGACAGAATGATTTAGGAATTTATATTCACTCTGGACCTGTCTCCTGAAGCACACGTTAAAAATATATGATCAACGGCATATGCGTCTTTAGCTAACATCAGAAATGTCATTAGAAATTTGTGTAAGAAAATCATTGAGAACCTTGTATACCACATATACTGAACCAGTCCTGGAGCATGCAGCTTCTGCGTTTAGTCCATACTTAGGCAAGCACAAGACGAAGTTTGAGACTGCTCAAAGGTAACAGACCAGACTAGTTCCAGAACTACGAGGTTTGAGTTAAGAGGAAAGGCTACGCGAATTGAACCTCATATTGCTGAAATTGCATGATTACCACAAACAAAATTCTCAATGGAACCGACAAAAAAAAATACTATTTAACGGATGATACTCACACAATGAGACACAGGTGGAAGCTGAGAATCTAAATGAGCAATAGAGACATTAGAGCATTTTTTCCAATGTCAGAGCAGTTATTAAATGGAATGCATTAGGAAGTAATATGGTGAGGACAGACGCCATACATGGTTACTCGTGTAGATATAATAGAGCCCAATACGCTCAAGAACATGGCCACCAGTTGAGAGGCGGGAGCAACTACCTCCCTGTAACAAGGCGAGGAAAAGTTCTGGGATTGGATAACTGGGATCCTATCTGGATCCCAGTTATACCTGGATAACTGGGATTCTGGGATCGAAAGTTTGCAACGATGCTCGTCCCAGAATTGCAAGGGATGGGGCATGGCGAAAGTGAATGAACCAAACCTAAGGACGCAAGAAGAGAGAGAGAGAGAGAGAGAGAGAGAGAGAGAGAGAGAGAGAGAGAGAGAGAGAGAGAGAGAGAGAGAGAGAGAGAGAGAGAGAGAGAGAGAGAGAGAGAGAGAGAGAGAGAGAGAGAGAAATAATTAATGCTATGTACTCTCACAAACCCAATATACCTTCTTGTATATAAATAAATCAATAGAATAGATAGGGAAACAGGTGAAGAACATATTGCTCCAAGTCATAACATTAGACAGGTGGGGGTTAGAAAAGCGGGATCCAAGAGCTAAAGCTCGATCCTACAAGCACAGAGAGGTGAGTTCACACCCGCACACAGACACACACACGTGCTGTGCTGTTTGATCATATGAAGTTTGTACCGGAAGCCACCAAGTTATCGAATTTTCCAGTCCTTAATGAGCTTCGTTATTACCTGCACGAGGTAGAGGGCCGCAGGAGCCAAATTGGGGTGGAAAGAACCAAGCAGCTAGCGAGAGAAGCCAGGTAGAGAGCCGGAACGGCTAGCTAGGTGCTGGTTATCTTGAGGTTATCTTGAGATGATTTCGGGGCTTTAGTGTCCCCGCGGCCCGGTCCTCGTTCAGGCCTCCACCCCCAGGAAGCAGCCCGTGACAGCTGACTAACTCCCAGGTACCTATTTACTGCTAGGTAACAGGGGCATTCAGGGTGAAAGAAACTTTGCCCATTTGTTTCTGCCTCGTGCGGGAATCGAACCCGCGCCACAGAATTACGAGTCCTGCGCTGGTGAAGCCAGGTTGAGACCCCACCGGCTGCTAAGACCCACCAACAAGTGGGTCTTAAACCAAACAATCAATCCATAAATTGGTGAAGAATCAACAGGTGTTGCAGACCAAACCTCAGTATTCCAGTGACCGATCACATTTGTGAATTATTCAAAAGCTCCAGTTTTCTGAGTTGCAACAGAGAAGGCTTTTTAAATATGTAGGTTTTTTCTAACCTTTTCATATTCATATGACCATGACCTTTGTGTGAAGGTGAAACAGCTTGCTATTTTTCATTGCATTGTTTTTTTTTTTTTTAGTTTCATCTATACCAGCAGCAGGGAGCACAATGCTTTATTAACTGTGTATGTGTCGTGTTCAGTACCTGGTTGAACACGGCATGTGTGTGGTGTTCAGTACCTGGTTGAACACGGCATGTGTGTGGTGTTCAGTACCTGGTTGAACACGGCATGTGTGTGGTGTTCAGTACCGGGCTGAACACGGCATGTGTGTGGTGTTCAGTACCGGGCTGAACACGGCGTGTGTGTGGTGTTCAGTACCTGGTTGAACACGGCATGTGTGTGGTGTTCAGTACCGGGCTGAACACGGCGTGTGTGTGGTGTTCAGTACCGGGCTGAACACGGCGTGTGTGTGGTGTTCAGTACCGGGCTGAACACGGCGTGTGTGTGGTGTTCAGTACCGGGCTGAACACGGCGTGTGTGTGGTGTTCAGTACCGGGCTGAACACGGCGTGTGTGTGGTGTTCAGTACCGGGCTGAACACGGCGTGTGTGTGGTGTTCAGTACCGGGCTGAACACGGCGTGTAAGGAGAGGCAACACTGCAAAATGCAGAGAAATATTTGATATTAAACAATTAGAACAAGTAAGGGGTGATAATGTGATAATGTTGATGATGATAAGAATGATGATTATTCGATCGAGTAATCATCATCGAGAAGAATCATCATTATCTCGATTCTTCTTCTCGTTCTTCTCGAGATGATCGTCGAGAAAAAGAAAAGGAGCAACAGCAGAAAATGGAGGAAACAATAGAGAAAAAGGAGAGAGAAGAAAATAAATCGGAAAAGTAGATAAAAGGGAGACATAAAAGAGAATGAGAACAAGATGAACACTGATGAACACGAACACCTACAAAAACTAAATGGTTAGTATTCTGAATGAGAACTTTTGTTCCAGTATTTACTAGAAATGCGTTTTATATTATACTTGCAGCTGAACAAATCTGTGTCGAGGGTGAAGAGAACAAGTCGGAGAAGCTTAAGTTAAAGTTCAGTAACTCCACCGACGAGGCCAAGTATTTCCCCTGGGTTCTTGAAGAGTGTAAAGAGGAAGTTTAGTGAGCTCTTGCCTTGCAGGTTTAATCAATCAAGAGTCGACCTCAGTACCGGGAACCTTGAGTGTTGCAGCTGTGGTACCGAGTGTTTATATGTGAGAGAACACTGCCCTCCAAGACCTCTAACATTCTAGGCAACATTGCTTGATAATCGCAAAAGCTTCGCGTTCGTTTAAATCGTTTAAATCTTTTTAAAATATAGATTTATATAGATATATATATAGACCCTTCGTTTAAATCTTTTTAAAATATAGACTATAAAGTGGTTCATAATATGACTTTACGAAGGGACGCAAGTGTATGAACAAGATTATATAAATGATTTAGTAGCATAGTTTTCGGTCTTGACAGTAAAAAAGATTGCATCATTGTACATTTTAGCAACTTTTACATGTTATTTTATTTGTAATTTTTGTAGTAAAGATTTGATGCAGTGCCTGACGAAGGACTCGGGAGAGAGGTACATGTTTTGGGGGGATGGTTTAGGGGTCTGGTTCTCTCTTGGGAAGGAAAAAACTTAACATAACTGTGATACAGAGTATGAAACCGTTGAAGGAGGAGTGCCCGTCGGGTCTGTTCTAGGACCTACGCTCTTTATCATATATAAACAATTTAGGCACAAGACTGAACAACAATATTATGCAATTTACAGATGATATAAAAGTAGAGAAACTAATTTAAAACAATAGCTCAAATATCGCTTCAAAATCAATCAGTTAAAATAAAAATGAAAGATAAACAGATGCAGTTTAATGCTGACAGATATAACGTTTTGAGCCTAGACAATGATAACAGAGATACAAGATATCATCTGAACAATGCTGAAATGGCCAAATGTGCACGTGGAAATAATCTGAGAGTCATGACTACTAGAGTTCATAAGCCAAAAAAATA